CTGAAAAAAAAAAAAAAAAAAAAGACTATTAAATGATGCAAGCACCAATTCTAAAAAAAAAGTTTTTGTGTTTTTTTAATAAATTGTTTTGATAATCTTTATAAAAATTTTATTTTTTATTATTTTTAAAAATGTTAAAAATTCTAAATGTATAATTGTCTCGGTTCTTTTTTTAATACATGTTTTTTGTAAGAAGTGTATTTTTCTGAAGGCTAAGACAGTTTGTGTGAAAATTGTTACATTTTTTATGGCCCTTAAGGCTCAAGTGGTTGACTGTCAAAATTATTTGTTGCAGATTTGTTTTTCGAATTCTTGGAGAAGGGTTTTATTGGCCAATGAAAGCCAATTTCTTGAAGCCCTTGTAAAAAACGATATGACAGTCCCTTTTTCAATAAAAAGGACTACTATCAATGGATAAAGAGTGGAGAGTGAGAAAGAATGTGCAGTTGGCAAAAAATCTTTTAACAAAGGAGGAAGAAGGCATTTAGTGCCCATGCTTCAAAGGACTGGTCTGGTCAAGGGGTTATAAACACACAAGAAGACTTTTGGACAGCAAGGGAACAAGGCAGGTCATCAACATCAAGGAAACCATTTGTTACCAAGAAGAGAACATCTAAGAAGGCACCAGCTGCCAGCCAGTTGCTGAGAGACCAAAATTTTGAGTGAAAATTCTCTTGTGGTTGAACAGCCTATAACGAATTTCTAAGAAATTTTTCAAAGCATAAACTGTATGAAGTTAAAACTAAAAGGGAACTTTTCATAAGATTACTGTATCCCAGAAACATATGTGGGAGCATGTGAAAGTAAGTTTTTATCATTTTTCTCAAGGGTTATTGAACCTTTGTTTTTTTACCGCCTTTTTGTATGGTTTTCTCTTTTTATCATTTACAAAATCCTTGTTTTTCCCTTGCTGTAATTTTCCAACTTTCATTGGTAATCCTTAAAATTGTAATCCTGCCTTTGAGGCATGCAGGAGATTTTTGTGCCAACTTGTATTGTACCTTTTTTCATAATTGTATAAACTAGGTCCCTCCACTAAATTTTCGATATGTAAAATTCAAAATGAATTTTAAAAATGAAAAAGCATTCTCGAAGATTTCATTTTAGCTTTAATTGAAAGCTAAATGATTAAATTTACTATTTCTAATAAGTAAAAAAAATATTCTGGTGTATTTCAAATAGAAATTATATAGAGTAGAATCTCAACTTTTTGACTGAATTCAGAAAATCTTCTTACAAGTGACCATTTTCTTAATTTTAAGAAATTTGTGAACAAAACAGAATTATTGGTTTTAAAAATCTTCCAAAAATAAAATATATATTTGTGATATGTTATTTGAGTAAAATTAGCAAACTTAAAGATAAATTAATCTGATATGAAATAAACATTATTTACTTATAGCATAAAAAAGTAATATACAAGCATTTCTTGATGGGTCCGGTTTTGCTTTTATCTTTATTGACATATCGATAAGTTCCGAGGTGTTGATAGTTAGTATGGATGACTAGAATTGACATAAATTTATGAAATCTCAGTGAATGCTATTTTTTTTGTTTTTTAACTACCTAGTAATTTTTACAAATTAACATATTTTCAGCAATTATCTAATATTTTATTGTCTTTTAGTGATGTTTGAAGATGCTTTAAGAAAAAATAAAAATAATTTAGAATACTATAAAATTTTAAATTAATTTTAAAATTTAATATGAAATTAAGATAAAAGATAAGAAAATTAACACATTGATCTAGAAATTTTTATAATAATTAAAATATTCTTTAATCATTAATAGTTAATAAACTTTAATTAACATTAGCTAAAAAACAAATAAATGAGATAAAATTATCTCAATTTAATTTTTAATTTAATAACTAAGAGTGAGATAAGCTGAAGACCTTGTAGTGATTACTACTATGTTTTGCCATGCCTACATTTTTCTCAACTGTGATTGGTTAAATAATAAATACTAAAAATCACAGGACAATTTACTGATCGCATTCACCACACTGAATTTTTCCTACCATTAATTCACAAACATGCTTTTGTTATAAAATCACCGATTGCTTAATTTTTCATCCAATTAGATAATTTTTTGTGTTCTTTCAAAATTTATCCCGTGTTCGTGCTAGGAGCCTACTGGTAATAATATAAGTTTGGATTCATTCCCAAATTGGACAGTAGAGTTGAAGACAGTAGAACTCAACAACTTACACACATCTACACAGACTATTCATTCTACTCACTCCGCACACACAGAACTTGAATATCATTCACCATCAGTTCTTTGTGAACAAGCCAAGTTGCAACAGTTCCGTTAGTTATACAAAATACACAATTGAACTTACTGTATGTTTTTCTGAATACACATTCTATTTCAATACAGAACTTTGAACATTCTATTCAGAAAACTTGCTTTATTACATTTCACCTTATTCAACTAACAGATAAAGGGAAACTACTTTTTTCTCCTTATTATTCACATTACAAAAATTGCTTTTGTATTTGTTGATTTTAATATATATTTTATTGTTGAAACAAAATCAGGTTTTCCATTGTTTTTCCTTGATTTAAAAAAAAAAATGTATAAATGTTAAATGCTCTTCAACACGCAGCCACATTAATCTTTTCAACACAACCAGCATTTACAACTTTTATATGTCAAGGGGCTTTCCCTAAGAGGGAGACAAGCCTTGAAACACATGACATTTTAACCATAATATCACTTACAAGACACCATACTAAAAAAAAAAAAAAAAAAAAAAAAAAAAATTAAACATTTTGTTGCACAAAAAAATATCTTTAATTATAGTAACAAGTTTTGCTAGCATGATTTGTATTAAGCTTTTAATTTTCACTTAACAAATATAGTCTTCAATTAAAAACTTAATAACATACCTTGTACTGTTTGGAAGAATTTTAAAACATTTAAAAAAATTAAAGAAAAATGAAAGTTATTGTAAAACTAAAAGAAAAATGCAAACAATTCTTGTAAAAATTCTTTATTCATCGAAAATTTTTTCTTCAGATAATAATGTCCTTAATGTATATTATTTATAAAAAGCAAATAAAAGACTATCTAATTAGGTAGTTTTATTCCCGTTTTTATTTTAAGATTTGAAGCAGATTTTTAAAAGGTTGGCAGTAGTTTTGGGAAAAAAAAATTGATTTTCTTACTACAAGAAGTCCTGGTTATAAGTAAAACAATTTGCGAAGTGTTTGAAATTCTAGAAAATTTCATAAAGTTATAGGGGGGTAACAGATGGAAATCATACAAAGATTTTTTAAAAACAATAATTTCAAAAATAAATTCATTCATTTTTTTAATAAGTCCTGAAAGATCCATCAAAATCAAACAATTGTTTGATTTTTGCAAGAATTTCCAAATTAATAGGTTTCCCCCCAGAAACTGATGTCTACCACAAGTAGTACAAAAATGACCAAAAAATATAAAAAAAAAAAAAAAAAAAAAAAAAAAAGGGATTTTTTTTTAATTTAGAACGTGTTAGTTAGAAAAAGGAAAAATTTTAAAATATAATTAAAATAATTTTTCTTTCCTCTTCTTAATACAGGTGTTAACCCATTATAAAAAGAGTTGTCGGGACCGGAGAAGAAGTCTTATATCCGGGTTTGGTCTATTTATACATTAACACAGGCTCTAATTTGGGACCAGAGAAAATCTATATCCGGTTACAATGGTTTGTATTAAACATTTTGACGATAAAACTTTTGTTTTTTTTTTGTTTGGGGTAAGTTTTATCATTATGCTGATTGTTAAAATTATTTAAGTCAATAAATTTGAGATGTAAAAAATATTTTTTCACCAAGATTTTCTAAAACAAAAACTTTAAAAAATAATTTAATTCATTTGTGAGTAAGTCCTGAAAGTCATTAAAATCCGACAATTATTTGATTTTTGCGTGAATTTCGAAATTAACGTGTCTTTTTACCGGAAAAAGAGTGCAATAAACATGCAATGTAAAATAAAAAATGACGTTTCGATGACATTTAAAAAAAAAAAAAATTAATCAAAATTTCGAATGTGTTAGAAAGGTTTATAAAATTTGTAAAAATAAGTAAAAAATACTTTCGTCTTAATAATAACAAACATTATTTTTGACGATAAAACTGGGTTTTTTTAAGTTTGTGACCTTTTTTCATCATGTTATAGTACTGTTTTTCAGTGAGCAAAAACTATAAATGCGTTTTTATTTTCCTTTTGAAATTTTACTGTCTTCATTTAAAATTTTACCAAAAATAATTTGTGAACATAAAAATTCATGCAGAATCCTCTGCGCGAATTTTCAGTATAAATTCTTTTACTGAAATTGAAATAACATCTTCAGAGATTTTTCTTTATAAAAGTAAGTAAAACAATTTCCCGAACACCGAAAAATTTCTATATAAACGCGATATCGAAAAGAGGGGAGGGGTGAACAGACCCCCAAAATAATATTTCCAAAGTTTCTTCAAATAATCTATTCAGTTTTTTTTTACAATTCATTCATTCATTAAAAAATAAATGATTAACCAACGGTATTTTTATCAAATTTAATTTATTTACTGAACTTCACCTTTTTCGGGTTATAAATTTATTCGCCTGCTACCATTAATGAACAGTTGCAATTATGAAGAAAACGTTTTTTTATTCTAAAAACCTAAGCGAAATCAGCATGTACAAAAAAACAAAACAAAAAAAAAAAAACAATTAAATTTAATTTAGATAAATTTAAATTTCATTGATAATCCACAAAAATACAAGTTACACAATATTTTCTATTGTGTCTCTCGTGCAGATTTTTACGAATGATTCGTTTTTACTTTTTTTTTAGCAAATATTTATTTCATAAAAAAAAAAGAAGTAAAAACGTGTTTGCTACCTAAAACGTTTTTTAACAAACAAGGATGGCCTAAAAAGCCTAAAGGAAAGGGGAAAATTAAAAACATGACAATGACAATAAGTATTTGTAAGACAATCGAAAAAAAAAATCCTGAAAATCTTACCTTAAAGTTGGAAACAGAGACATGAGGTTTTGTCTTTTTAGTTTTAAAACCCACCTACCAATTTGGTTATGTAATGCCTAAATCTAAATCAAAGGTCAAAGAACAAAATTTTCAGTCTTTACAAACAAAAACAAGGGGCGGATAAAAAAGAAGGCGAAATGACTCTTGTAAACAAAAACACATGAATATGTTCCTCCTATTCTTTAGTAAAATCCATTTTTAGATAATTAGAAATATTTTATGAATTGCTGAAAGATGAAAATTTTTTTCAGAAAATGAATTTAATAATTTTCACTATGTATTTAACAACTCTTTATTTTAAAATAAATAAAATAAAACTAAGAAAATTCGGCAGATGCTAAAGTGAATTCAATCCAGACAGTGTTTCACTAAGGCTTTGTAAATAAAATACTTTGTTTAAAAAAATATGCAAGAATTACATTTTTAAAACTGGTTTTGCTGCTATTGTTTTCATGAATAATCTTGGCAATTTTCGATTTTTTAAAAATTTCAAAAAATCGTGGACTTACAATAAAAATTTCTATGATTATCGTCAAAAGCCCCTGTAATCAAATTTCTGAGAACCAATTTTTTTTTTTGGTAACTCTTTATTTCGGAAAATAAACTTATTCCAAATTCCCCCTGTTTTCTTTGCAAATACTATTGGATTCTGTTGTTTTGTTACTATTTCTGGCCATAACAAGTTAAGCAGTCTTTTAAAAAAAGAAGAATATATACTGAAAAAATCCGTTTTTTAATCAAATTTAAAAACTATGGGAAGTAAAATTTCATGGACATATAAAACTGCAAAAACTTTTTGAAACAATTCTTCCCAGAAGATACTACACCTCCCTGTTTTTTGGTGTTTTTTTTTCTCAATTCCTGATTATTTTCGTATTGTATTGTCCTTCCTCTTCTTGTCTTTGTTTTTATCTTTTAAAAACTCTCTGTCTCTTATTTTCTCTTTCAAAATTCTGTCTTTTCATTGGTTAAAAATATACTCATCTGTCTTTTCATTTTCTCAAATTTTTTATTTAATTGATATGTTCCAAATTTTTAAAAAATTCTGTATCTTCTTGTTACATCCAAAATTATAATTAAAAACCAATTTGTTTCACCTTTTCCGGCTGCAATATAAGATATATGTTGTCCTTTTTCTCAAATAGATTCAAAAAACTTGATCAAAAAAGTTGCTTTTCTGGATTCGCAATTTATTCTTTCTATTTAAAATTGGTTTGTTGTTCGAGAACGTTAAAAAATGATTTGTCTTCCTATTAATGCTTCAAGAAGTTTTCTTCCCGCATTGAAATTTATCTGGTATCCATGGAGCATTTGTTGAATACATTCTATGTCTTTTAGGTTAATTTTACGAAAAAACCTTTTAATCAATTTTACCGCTTATACCATTCTTTACATCTTAAACTGTTTTACAATTCTACCATCTTTTTTAGGGATAGATATGTTGGGACTTTAGGGTCATTTAATTCATCAGAAGGATTTGTTATTCATGGTTGCGTGTTTGACCGCGTCCCAAACAAATATACAAACAATCGTGATATTTCAAACAAGGAAAAAACGAGACATATATTGATCAAAACAATACAACATTTATATGCAATAAAACATTTACAAACTGGAATAAAATTTGTATGAGTTGCGTGCGTAAATTGTATGTGTATGCTGAAATGGTTAATGTCTCTTGTATCGTAATGTTCGCTGTTTTTTGTTTGTATCAAAAATTGTAATAATAGAATTAAGAGTTTTTTGCAAAAGAGTTTGTCAAAGTAGTCTACCCTTAATCGTATTTTTGTGTTTGTATTCGTTTTCGTATTTCTTATTTTTGTAATGATTATAAATCAATATGCATAAGAAATTAAGTGAAAAGTTTCAAGAGTCGCTCGTGAATGTTCGTTGAAAAGCGCGGCAAAGTTATGGTTCGGAGCGTCGTGGAGTCTTTAGGCAACTGCTCGTGAGTTAGCTAGACTGAATATTTATTGCACATATGTACAAATGTGGCACAAGGCCGAAAAGGGGGTTGGGGTAAAGGACGGTCATCACTTGTCTTAAACTAAAACTTAGCTAGCCACAATCACTGACCCTATCATACAGAACAATAATTCTTTCACCAAAACAACACATTTATCCATACCTTTCTTACAACAAACACCAAAATGCCTCTTTGACTCCATGAAAAAACCTAAATAATCCCCTTATGTACAAAGTATTGTCTGTGGGGGAGGGCATAAAAAAAAAACAACTTTTAAAAAATGAACCCCAATGAATATATACAAAATGACAAAATATATTTACAAGAAACCAAATAAAATTAGTGTTAGTAATAAAACACCCCAAAACTCTTGAATGTGGCAGAAATATCAGTTAACTGGACGAAATCGATGCGGAACTTATGAAAAATAAGGCCACACTCATTCTTCCCAAGCATTCACACAAGACACACACTCATTCATACACAACAACAAATACGAAAAAACACACACACGAAAACGAAAGGCGCCCCGCATCTACCAGAGAACTGACATCACTGACCACCTAAAAAAAAACGAGGGAGGGGATGGGGAGTTAAACCAAAAGAAAAAAAAAAGGGGGGAGAAATAAAAAGGGGGCCAATGAGCAAATACACCCTAGCTAAGTTTACCAGAATAAAAAAAAAAAACTAAAAGAAAAAAAATCAAAAAAACCTAAACTAACCTAACTCAGGGATGGGTTACCTAAGTTTAACCCAGGAAAACAATATTCTTAATGCCTAACCGGCATCCAAATGCCACTCAAGGTCAGCCCCTTTTACTCGGCACATTCGCGCAAGAATCACCCACCTTTTGCTGAATTCCGATGAGGTGAGCCGCCGCCTTTCCGTCCTGATCTTGACTTTAAGCTGATGCTTAAAGAACAAGATCAGTTGGGAAGAAGTGAACTTCTCGCCCTCATGGAATCCCTTCTGACGCGTCGTCCAAATCACGACTCTCATAACCCCTAGTAAGCAACAGAACACATAGTGTTCAGCCTTCGTCATCTGCGGCACCACATTGCTACAAACAGAACTGGCTTCCAGGACAAAAAACTTTCCGTGCAGCATGCGAACCATGAGGCCTTCAACAAACTTGCACAACGGCACTACCGCCTCGCACTGAAAAAAGGCGTGACCAATAGTCTCGACTTCCCCAGTACAACGACGACAGTTTGATATTTCTCCAAGCCAGCTGCACAAAGTCTCTTGCCGACCCAGAGGGCTTCACGAATCACCAGCCAGGTGAGTGATGCCTCATCGTTATTGAGGCATTTCAACCCAGGCGCCCAAGGCCATATCGAGCGAGCCTCCTGCTTCGTAAGACCGAGCTCGCCAATCAGCTCATCTTGAACGGACCCCCTAACTAAAACTTGATATAATGCCTTGCGAGACAACGCCTGGGCGTTGGAGAGACCATCCGAAGCCCGTAAGAGGAGCTTCAGAGCGCGACGACATTCACGATAAAAGGGCACTCGGCACGTGGTGTACGGCTGGCCTCTTCCTCGCACGAGTGCACACTTTTCAGGGACGGAAAATGTTTCTGGACGTCTTCTTTCCAAAAGGCACCCTCCTCATCCGACCCACGACACATTCGGTCCAGAAAGGTAATGCGAAGCATATATTGACGGATCTCAATGCTAGGCATCCCCAGACCGCCCTCAGAGGGATGGAGGCAACAGACCTCGCGAGATACCATGGGGGCCTTGCCTTCCATAAGAAAGAGAACAAGGTCCGGACTAATGACATTAGCCGGGCATACGGGAGTGGAAGCACAGAGAGTCGGTAGAGGAGGATCGGATAGATGTGTGAAACACATAACTTCCGCCCTTCCCTTCAGGGAAAGTCTCCTCCGAGACCACAGATTAACCGCGACCTCGGCCTTCCCTTGTACCTCCGACCAGTTCATTTCCAACTGGAGATCAGGACCGAACCAGACGCCGAGTATCTTGATCGGCCCATCCGTCCAGAGGAAAGGTCCGGGAAGAGAAACTCCTTCCACGCACCCAACCGCAAGCCCACAGACTTATCGCGGTTGATCCTTGGCCCCTGTTACCATCTCATACCCACTGATTTCTTTGCTGACTTCGTCAATCTCGGCTCTGCTCGACACAAGAACCGAAACGTCGTCAGCATAGGCAGAATACCTGGCCGAGGTGGTAGCGCCAGGCAGGGAAATTCCGCGCAGGACCGATTCGCCTTTAACTTGCGAAGGAATGGTTCCAACGCAAGAACGTAAAGCAAGGGCGATAGCGGACAACCTTGACGAATGGAGCGAGACAATACGAAAGGCTCCGACCTTACCCCATTCACTTCCACCAGCGCACCGGGGACGCATACAAGAGTCGGATCCAGGAGCGAAAGTCGGCTCCGAAACCGGCCGCCGACAGGACAGCCTCCAGAAACCGATGGTCAACCCTATCGAAGGCCTTGGACTGATCTAAATTGATCAGCGCGGCTTCACTGTCGACTTGTTCTAAGATCAAGCGTACCATATGAAGGTTATCCTGAATCGTCCTGCCCTTCACAGCACAAGTCTGTTCAGGGCCAATCAGACGAGACAGGACAAGCTGCAAACGGTTGGCTAAGATCTTCGCCAAAATCTTTAAGTCAGTATTTAACATCGTCAAAGGGCGAAAGTTCCCTAACCCATCCCCACCATTCTTGTCCTTACGCAACAACTTGATCACACCCCTGGTGAAGCGTCGAGGTAAAGACCCCTGCCTCATCCAGTGGTTGAAAATCAGCTGCAGCAAAGGAACAAAAATGGGCGACAACCTCAAGTACACTTCGTAGGGAAGACCATCTAGTCCCGGAGACTTATCCAGGCCAACCTGCTTCAGCGCTTCCCAGATTTCCGACTCTGTTATGGGACCCTCGCACCTAGCCGCTTCAGCTGCCTCAAGGCAGGGAAAGTCAGCCAAATAGGCATCGAACTGAGCAGAGCTCAGACCGGGCTCCCTGGTGAAAAGATCCTGAAAGTAAAGCCGAAAGGCCTCG